TCTAACCAGTCGAGCGATAAAGTATGTGGAAGAGGCCCAAAATCGAATAGAATGACTCGCTCATTCCAAGACTCCAGCCATAGGAGACCAAAAACAAGACTTTTTACGACAATGTGCCGATATGCAGGGGCAATCGACTTCATTTAATGGTTTGACGTGAAATTATGAGAAGTAGCTAGAGTACAAAATTTGTAATAAGGGACACACAGAGTACTTGTGAAATGAAGTGTTTCCTGAGTTTGTAAATGGACGTTGAACACCTAGAAGGTGTCGACTTGCCTCTCCTCGTTAGTTGGAGAAGCTGCAATTCCATCCAAGTGAGACTCGTCCTCTACCGGCACGCAGGCAAATACCTTCTGCAGAAATATTGTGCCCTTATCTGCACAAGAAGGAAAAACGGATCAGAGACGGTGTATCTCCCTGTTGCAAGGCGTTCACGATCGGCTAGAACGCGATCACTTACAGATGAAATTCTGGAAGCTCTTAGGTTTGTTCTTCCACGAAACACCCAACCAGTAGATGGGAACCGCCGCCAACATAAGAATCACGTTGGAGAGCGACTCACGTGGTTGTTGATAGATCGTCAGCGCAAGGATGAAGAGATCAGATGCGAGGAAGAGAATCGGGAAGAAGATGGGCAACTACGTGAACCAAGGCAAAAGGAGGCGCGTTAGAACCACCTTCACTTAACACAGACGCATGCCTGCGTCCGTCACAAAGGCCTCGTGTACCTTGATTATCACTTGCAGCACAAAGCGCCGCAGTGAGGACAAAGGCACAAAGGATGAAGAAAGGTGTACCTGAAATGAAGTCTTCAAAGTGGGCTCTTTGTACCGCAAATAGAGGAGAGCGGTCACTGCCAAAGCCGCAATGGAGGAGAACGCGAAGCCTGCCAACCCAATTAACGCGAACAGGTCGCTGTAAAATTGGTAGCCTACGGCCAGCACAAGCTGTGGCGAAAAACACAATAGAGAGCAAGGCACTTTCTGCCTTGGTAATCTTGGATCAGTTAGGAGATATCTGAATCAAGATTAGCACCTGACTTTATCAAAATTAGATCAAAAATCGACTGACGGCCCTTGACAAGGAAGTAATATACTTGGTTAATTCTGAATCAAACATTATTTGAGCATGCAAACAGTCAGCCAGTCCATTTCAGTCATTCATTGCGTGATGAAGCTAATAGCGGTTTAATCAGAAGTGTTCCCATCAGTTTACTATCTAAAGAACATTAGCTGGTGAAATTACTTTACAGTAAACAGAAAACCCATTTTTTTAGGGAATGAAGAATGAAAATCTGACAATAACTTTAGGGTGAAAAAAAAAATCTCACCAAAATCAGAATGGCGGGAATAGGCGTAAGATTGCAGTGGTGGATCATGGCAAGAATGGACGGCATGTGTCCCTCTCTAGCTCCAGTGTACGTCAAACTTTAGAATTGGCAATGTAAATAAACGATAATTTACCTGTGAAATCCTAATTAGGAAGTGATAAGGGGCAAATGAAGAAAGACAACTCACCGAGACATCGACATCGCCTGCCCATTGATGCTTCCAAACACTGAGGCACCAACGAAAACGGGCATGAGCATGGAAATCCAGGGCATTGCACGCTTCGCGAACACCTGAAAGCGACGCGATGATAGTCAGTCAAAAAACGAGCTATCTCTCGATTCATAACACTGCAAAACCAACGACTTAGAGGCATTCACACCTGTGCAGCAGAGTATCTCCTACATTTTCTCACCCCTCCCCAAGTTATGTCCCATTTTCTTCCACCAAACTACTTCGCTAAACCTTCACACCGGTTTATTCACCTCAACTTACCACGGCGATGGCGGAGGATCCAGAGCCTGTGGCCAGCATTTCATAGGGGCTGAGCACCGCCAGGTAGGCTATGTTCGTCAGCACGTACAGCCCAGTTACCAGGGAGAGGGAGATCCCAATCGTCAGTGGCAGATTTCTAGATTGGTGGTGCCCATGTTATTACCCCATGTCTATTCACAATGTTCTACATTAACCAGCTTGGCACTCACCTACCAGGGTTTTTCATTTCTTCCACCAAGAAATTAAGCGAATTCCTACAAGACAATTTGACAAATGATTATCCGTTTAGGGAGATGGTAGTAATCTGACAAAATATTACACGTTTTGCTGATGTCCATTCAAATCTTGAACTGGAGTTGAATTACTAATTAAACGTCAACAAACTGTACAAAAGCAGCACTTTAATTCGACTCGCATTGAACAATGCTACACTGTACAAGCTGGTTGACACTCAGGTGCATCTTTATTGTTCAGGCCTTCTTCCAGTTATAAAAGCCACTGGTCCAATAAGCTTCAAAGGCTACTTACATATTCTCCGTCTCTTTCAAAATACACAAAAGCACCGCTCCTAAACTGATTGCTAACTAACTTGAAGTGAGGAATGTGTTCTGAAATACAACCTTAGGCAAACGGTCGTATAGTTGCCAATAATTAGCCGACGTACTCACTGATTAAACCACCCTCCTAGACTCTTCTTGGCTAATCTACATTACAATTTAATAATTACACCGAAAGGTATCCAAAACGACATGCGAATCGACTACCGATACATCTGGTACATGCCGGTAGCAGAACGGTAAGCAGCAATGTGTAAACGGCCAAAGACAGTACTTACCACCCTCCAAAAGCCCAGAAGCCCTGATAGAAGGCCAATGCTAGATAACCGGGAGACAAATTCGATCCCTCGAAGGCATCATGAAAACTTTCCACATGACCTAGTGCAGTCACATAAGTCCAACCAGCTGAAGTCGAATGGCTCATGCAATAAGGTATAGTAAAATGAGGATAGAAAGGAATATCATCCAAAACAATGAAGACGCCACGTCAGCGAACGGACTACGCATTCGAAGTGAGGGAGAGATAACTTACCAGTTGCGAGGTAATATAATCCAAAGCCGATTATTAGTAGTAATGCGACGATCTTGCCGAAGGAGAAGATAACCGCGACTCTCGTAGCCCACTTCACCTTGTAGCAGTTTATCGCACAAATTAACACTACAGGCATGCATGACGACAATACCGCACTTACTCAGACCACAAAGGGCAATCATGCTCACAACAGGTCCAGGGATTGTACAGTTAGGGTAGACGGGCTGCAGCATGTACTCCGCGAACACTATCGAATTGGCAGCACAACTGACACCACCAATGACCACAAAGGTGATCCACATCACAACGAATGCAGGCAGACCACCAAATGCTTCGAGGACATATGCATACTCGCCGCCGGACTTCGGGATTCGCACACCCAGCTCGGCATACACCAGAGCACCAAGCATGCTGAACAGACCCGGCACTACCCACATGATTAGCGATAGACCGACGGAATTCGAGTATCGCAGAACGCCAACAGGCGATACGAAGATCCCAGACCCAACAATAGCTCCAAATACGATGCTGACGGCTTGTAACACGCCAATCTCCTCCGACATCCTAACCACCGTCTTCTCATCCCCATTAGCGGAGCTTGGAACTTCAGATGCGTCAGAACCGCCACCCATTGGCAAATTCCATCGGCTTTCGCGTGGTACATCGGTAGGAGTTTATATTCACGACCGTGTTAGATATCTCGATTGACCTAGCTAAACAATAGTTCAAATGTCTTGCTGACTTTAAATGGATTTAATCTCTATTTTATATGTTATATTTTTCAAATCTATATTAATTAAAGTATTTTTTGCTATATTACAGGTAAAGAAGTTTATTTTGGGAAAAAGATACTCGAAGATCAGCTTTAAAATAGTGGTCCCAATGCCTCAAAGTAAGCCTTACAAGACAGTTTAGTCTTGCCTTTTAAAACGCTTTTGTAAAAAGGATTTAAGGAGGTCTACTGATATTTTGATTTTTCCTTTGTTCAACTACCCCAACGTGTTTGCGCTGAGATGTGTGTAGCACGATAGTGGTTTATCCCTCGGTTCTGGTGAGGCGCCACTTTTGTACTTCGAATTAGCCCCCTTGTACCTCGCTGGGTGGGCTGGCCTTTTGGGCCATGCCAACAGCCCAGACACCTCCGTGCTGAATATATATATTCTGCCCGAGTATTTTGTCTTCTTTCGTCTTCAGGGAGTCTCGGGACGCTACATTGGTGGCAGCGGAAAGCGAACCCGATCTTGAAAGACATGTATACTGATTTTCCACTTCTGCGTGATAAGCCTTAGTGGAGCAGAAGAAGTACATATGCTACGGACGGGAGAATGGTGATGTCTCCTAACAGAAGGGTTGATGTTGACGTTTACCTTCGGCATCTCTCCCAGTCCCGTGTTCTGCAGAAAAGCTATTAACAACTGAAGCGACACTAGCTGTGTACCATCTGGAAGTTTCGTTACGGATTTCCCCTACCGTCCCCCATGGACCTGTTTTAAATCTTGTATTCCCTTACTCAAATCTGCTTTTAGGCCAGTGTTTCTGCACCTATCTATGGACACGCATGATGGCCGGAGCAGTTCCCCGTCCTGAATGAAATCCCTAAACCGGACGAAACCCCGGATCCAGTCAAGCTGCCAAGAGGGATCAGTTACGTTGAGGTCAAGTATCCCCTCAGTTGCGCACTAATTTGGTGACTGGCACGGTT